AAGCTTGCTGCTCCTCTCTTTCTGTCGAGGTACCGGTTGCTGCTTCCAGCAGACCTTCTTTCTTGCGAACCATTTTGTTCTATTAATTAATTAATATCAAAAGTACAGTTCTAGACTAATGTTCACTTTACACTTCACAAACCTATTAGACAAATATTAAACACAGCACAAAATGTAGATTGCAGACACGAATATAACAGAATTATGGTACACAATCATAACACCACAAACAAGACAAGCATAAACATAAAAACAGATGAAAAACTAGTTAGATAACATGCAATATTATGTAATAATTGCTCTGCACATGATCCTTACCACTGCCACCAAAAATGGGTTGTAGTGCCCAATTAGTAAGTACGAACCACTGTTGAGATTCTCCCGATCCTATTTTAATGAGGTCTAGAACTTTGTTTTAAAACTTCAGGTTCTTAACTAAAAGAATTTTTATGGAGGTATCACGTTGCAGAGTAATTAGACATTTATTCAATGCATATAACATTTATTTGAAGTAAAAAAATATATACATAAAAGGAAAACATTTCAAAACTGTACATGTACACAGAACGGACGAATTTCACAACTAAAAACATGGACAAAACTAGTAAGGCTGGAAAACATCAAACCCTTAGCCCCACATACCCGTGATATTGTTAAGAATAGTTATTCCCATGCCAGTTAAGGAAAGTGCCTGGGTCTTCCCTTTTGTCAACTGGGAAACTCTACGACCTATGAGTATGATGTGATCATCCTCACATCAGAAGTGACTGGAAAGCCAAGGAGAACCAGTTTGATTTTGCTGTCTTCCCATCGCTGAGCTCCATCGATTCCTGGAGGAAATTCAAGGTACAATAATCTTGCCCTTATCACTAGCAATCCGGGTCAGCAATCGGATAGGCTTCTACATCTTCGATGTTCTGGCCAATCGGTAAGAAGTGCCAAAGCCTTCAAGTTTTTAGGGAACCTTGAACTGTGGGAAACACTTACAGAGACTCTCCCTGATTTTGGGAGCATGCCTGGAGAGGCCAGCCTGAGAGTTATTGTGAACAGACTTGTTTTGATTTTGGATAGTCATGTCCAGTTTAGCAGCAACAGGAGTTCCAACAAGGGAAGCTGGATGTTGCAACTCATTTATCTAACCGTGCCAGGGGTAGTGAAAGGGTATATGTGGCTGCTTGACCCTAGCTTCCCAAAGGAGATCATCTGACTGCCCTGACCAGGCCAGGGACAAGCCATCCATCTTGTTGGAATAAGGGACCAAAGAGGCGAGTTGCTAGTCGTATGATGTACTCATGCATGGTATCACTCAACTTGTTATTCATTTTAAAGCCCATTGCAGATGAACTGCAGAAAATAATTTACCTGTAGTTGCTCTCTCTCTCTCTCTCTCTCTCTCTCTCTCTCTCTCTCTCTCTCTCTCTCTCTCTCTCTCTCTCTCTCTCTCTCTCTCTCTCTCTCTCTCTGTAAGAGGCTGTAGATGCCTCTAAGCAATGCCTATAACTGGGTATCCAGTGATAGTGGTTAAGACGGATGACTCTTTATTAAGAAAGAGTACAACACAGTAAAAGTCTGAGTCTGAGCACAGGGTCGCGTGTCCAGCCAGCTAGCCCCGGGGGGGGGGCAAAGGCTGGTGCTGACTTGGTTGCGGCGACTGCTGGGAGTGAACTGAGGGATCAGTCGAGATCAGATATAATCGTCATCTAAGTCCTCGCTAGTGTGATGTTCTAAATTTGACTCACACCTCGCCCTCGGGGTACCTTAGATTGGCCTGAAAGTGTGACCCAACTTTGCCTAGTCCTGATTGGCTGGTCATCTCGTTCTCGTTTATATTGTCCTTGGTCCATCTTCGTGGCTGCTGGTCTTTTCGGCCTCTTCTTCCTGGTCCTTGGTGAATCCATCCGTCCTCAACGTCCACGGGTTCTCGAAGGTCTCGCACAGATCCTCCTTGACTTCGGATTCGTCTAGACTTCCTCGCAGTTCTCGTCCAGGCCTAACTCGGCGGCGTACTCGCCCACACATCGTCCAGGTCCTTCTCGGCTGTGTGCTCGTCCAGACGTCCTCGTAATCTTCGTCTAGATCTACGGGCGTCTGGACAGGCGTCTGATACTTGCACTTATGAGCTCCTGGAGTTTGAATGGATCTGCGGGCAGGCGGCGCCCTTCCACAGCATCCTGGGGTGACTGGTACCTGCGCTGGTGAGTTCCTGGTCCTTTGCTGGAACTATGGGCGTCCTGGCAGGCGGCGCCTGTAAGGTGTCCGTGGGAGGAGCCCCTTCGTCACACCGGCATAAGGGCCAGGCATGCTAAACTAATTAGCATGCCCAGTTTCTCCTAACATTGGCAAGAATGAGGCTCAGATACAACCTTTCTCGTTCCATTCCATCGGCAGATCACTGTAGGATCCATGGGGAGTAGCACACAAAAACACGTTCGACTTGGCACTCTTTATTGAGCCAAAATGGCCCCCTTATATAGGCGGGAAGGAAGACAAGACGTGTATC